TATGGATATGGATATATTATGGATATTTTGTCCAGACGCAATGGTTTGAATTTAGCTAGAGTTGTGTGGATTACTTGTGGATTATTGTGATGTTTTTATCAGCTGTTTGGACTCTCATTCTGACGGCACCCATTCACTGCAGAGGATCCACTGGTGAGCAAGTGATGAAATGCTACATTTCTACAAATCTGTTCAGACGAAGAAACAAACTCATCTACATCTTGAATAGCCTGAGTTTCAGTAAATTCTCAGCAAATTCAGATTTTCTGGCTAAACTGTTCCTAAAAATAAAGATCCCAAAAGAAGATTTTCGCATGAATTCCATAGAAGAATATTTTAATAATTTGTTCCACATAGAATCTTTAATCTTGATTTTTATTTATTTGTAATTGTGAAAAACATTATATTAATCCGAAGAAACTTTTTCCACTATAAAGGACCTTTTGTGCAGTGGAAAGGTTCCATGGACATTAAAGGCTCTTCGTGGATCCATGCTAATAAAAAACCTGAAGTGAGCCTGAAGGAGTGTTCACTGTTTCAATGCCAGATTATTAATTAGGATAATAAATAATTATAAAAAGCTTTGCAAATACTTTAATAATTTTTTTAGAACCTTACATCTCTTTTGGCTAACAGTTTGCAGTCAAATGAATAATCTTAATCCTATAGTTTTATTCTGTACTCCGCACAGTAAGAACCTATTAACCTTACAGAGTTAGTAATAACCAAATGATTATAGAGAAATTACTTGATCATATGTGTGCATGGTGCAAACATGAGGGAGGGGTTTGCAGTCACCTGCAGGGGAGTGGACTGTTTTTCCTTCTCCTTGTTGACTCAAACAAGGTAGTCTGTCACAGTTTGACCATATCTGATCATCCTGAAGAGGAATATGTCAGGTATTAGACAAACCAGTAAGGCCTATGTGACAAGCTAGTTTACAAAAAGGGTTTTGTTACAAATAGGCTACTGTGAATTATTTCCTAAGGTATTTTGCAAATACTGACAGCTATACAAAATATGCTTCTGAATGCAATATGAACGACTTCTGCTCAGAAGATTGTTTAATGTACAAACGTTCATTTAAAATCTGAATCAAATAGAATTGAAACCCTATTCAATTTAAACAAAGATTGTGCGCTTATGTCAGCATATGTATATATATAACAGGCCTTTTTTTTTTACACTTATTTATAAATATAAAACTATAAACTTACCTGACTTTCCCGAGACAACAACTTTGTTCTTCGAAATTAATTGAACTCCGGTTCTCCTTTGCTTATCAAAGTAAATCCAAAGGGTTGAAATTTAGCGTTCGCGGACATCTAAACTAACACAGGCCTTTATAAGAGCTCAAAGGCACATTTGTTATCTCGGAGCAACACTAACCCTCACCAAACCCGTGATAACAAATTCTTAATTTCACATTTGCCCACCACAATGGAGCAGTACTCGTCCCTCAAAGGAACAGAAAGACGAGAGTTGTCCAGTCATCGCACCTGTTCCGTCTGCGCATTCCGCGCTGATTTACGCGACCCAAAAGTAGATCTCATTATTCACTTGAAAACCAGGTGATTACTTTCGCAGCTCTCTAAAATTCCGTCTCGACCTGTATCCTAATTAAACAACATTTGCTGAGCAATTTATTCAAGCAGTATGTTGCGTAATCACCAAGACTGTCGTCTCAGACTTTCACTGGTTTAATAGGTAGGTCAGGAACGAATACGAGGGGAGCGGGTAGTAAGATTAGTAATATGAGCAAAGAAGATTTAAGGCTTAGCTCCGACCTCGAAACTGGCTTTTACGCGCAAATGGTTTCTTGTGCGCTTCTTACGCAAATGGTTTCTTGTGCGAGATACCGTTATCTACCAACGCGCAAGTGTAGAAATGTGGAAAATTTAGCTATTTTTGCAATATTTTGATTGTGTAGCTTATTAGTAGTTGAAATTGTGTGTTGTTGCCAGAATCTGCTTTAAATTACAGGTTAATTGAAACCATATGCATACTTACAGAGACTGAAAATGAATGAATACGCATGCATGAACATCAGCCGGAGGGATGCGGGCGGGGGTCTAAAGCTCTCATTTGTGCATGGTTGTGTGCCGAAGTGGAGTGGGTAATACCGTTTTCTTTTTTTGATCTGACTCTAAAAACTAGCCAACTTTTGTTGTAACTCAGTTGGTTTAGTTACACAGCAAGTGATTTTATTATTGTTTTAATAAAACAGTTTTATAGGCTGCATCATTTGCTGAATTCCTCTTCATTGTTGGTGATGTTCGCCTTCAGGTTGATGATCGTGGAGCGCGCTCTGGTTGTCAAGTGTGATAAAATGCATTCTTCTAAAATTCTTTGGAGTTCATAACGGTAATTGTGACCTTCTTTATCAGATGTAGGTCTAATGGTGATGGCCTTTCATTGGTGTCAATAACACACTTTATAGTTCAGGCTCAAATTCAGTGTGCGCATCGTGCCGTGGAGTCAGAATTCAGCACACAAGCTCGCCTTTGGTTATTTATGGAAATTTTTTTTTTTTTCTCGCAAAATAATGTTCCTCTTTAAAGGAAAATCTCACATTACAGCTGTTATGTTTATTAAATATTTTGCTTGGACGCGAGAATATTCCAAAACATTGTTCATAAATGCTGCATGAGGTTGAAAGCTACTGTACTGTATGTAGGCTATTACTGCAGGTCTAGTGAGTGAACAAGAGTTTAGTATGAACATGGTACATGCGTCATTTTTCAATTTCTCCATTTTTTTTGGTCGAAATGTATTTATATGTTTATTTATTTAAAAGACAGTTATATTTCTTACAAAATGGAACTGTAGATTAATTGATTTATAAAAGTCTTACTGTGAAGGACTGCGGATACAGTTGAGAATATTATGAACTTCAAAAATATGAAACAACAGGCTGTATAACAAAATTTACAGTAATCCCTGAACATATATTTCACTTTGTCTTTTTTTCTTAGCAAAAAAGGCATTTATAAATTGTAAGTTTTGTTATATTTGAGGTTTTGTGAATATGTATGTCTTTTGTGATGGGTTGAAAAACCACAGTGCATGCCAACAAGACAATGCGCCTCTCTACTGTCATCTGAACCCCGTGTGGTTTGACCAAAGTAAAGAGATGCATTGACAGCAGGATGTTAGAGATGAGGGTCTCATGAAACAGACTCAACACCTGAACACACGTCCATTCACTGCAGTGACACTACAACAACACTGATATAAAACTAGTATTTGACTGATACAAATTACTTACACAAATTAGTAAGATGGAACATACATTATATTATAATTTTTGTATATTGTGGCAGTGCACTCAGAAACATACTGTTCCCATCCCTACAGATCCTATAAATAGCCAAACTGCTTGTATAATGACACATGTTTCAACACCATAAATACAGGCAATGAATTGCTTAAAATTGTTAGAAAATCAAAAATCCCTGACATAAAAAGCTAATGAAACTCTTCATACTCATGACACATTTAAAGCAATAGATTTTATGTATTTATAGAATGTCATTTTAACCTGACATTGCACATATGTAGGTATTTGAAGTGCAGGGTGGAGAAATGTCTCAGACTCAGTAAGCGAGCGAAGGTGTGGGCGTTGAGCACTGGCCTTTCTTCTCTCACCATGCAGTTCTTTTCATCTCACACCCGTGTGGTTAGATCAAAACAACTGACTGCATTCAGAATTACAGCAGATTGTCACATGCAGTAGAGTTAACCGGCAAGAAGAACGCGCTCAGTCTGCATTGACCTTTCTGGATAAAAATCTGTAGATTTGTGCAACACAGAGAAAGCCACACTAACAGTGACTTTTTGGATGATATCTGAAATATATAAACCTGAGACATTAAACCTTTATTAGTCAAGAGCTCTTCTATGTTAGCAATACCATATGTGACCCTGGAGCACAAAAAGCAGTGTTAAGTCGCTGGGGTATATTTGTAGCAATAGCCAAAAATACATTGTATGGGTCAAAATTATTGGTTTTTCTTTTATGCCAAAAATCATTAGGACATTAAGTAAATATCATGTTCCATGAAGATCTTTTGTAAATTTCCTACTGTAAATATATAAAAAATTATTTTTTTGATTAGTAATATGTATGGCTAAGGATTTCATTTGGACAAATTTAAAAGCGATTTTCTCAATATTTAGATTTTTTGGAACCCTCAGATTCCAGATTTTCAAACAGTTGTATCTCGGCCAAATATTGTCCTATCCTAACAAACCACACATCAATTGAAAGTTTATTTATTCAGCTTTCAGATGATGTATAACTCTCAGTTTCGAAAAATTGACCCTTATAACTGGTTTTGTGGTCCAGGGTCACATATCATCACAATGTCCTTTTCGGCCTCTGAGTTCGTTAAGTAGGGTTATGTCTTGGCAACCAAAACATGCATGGAATAGCCTTGGCAGACTGACATATTGTATTTCCAAGTTAAAGAAACTATAATAAAGTAACAGAGGAGTGCATTAAGCAGTCCTTCTGAGAGGCATGAGATACATGTAATATTGCCCCATGGCCCCATTTCCTGAAAAAACTAATTAAACGTAAATAGCAAGTTATTTTATCTTGACAACATGTTTCTTGAAAGCATCATGGCCAATATAACTAATTAGCACCATCAAGAGCCCCAGACCATTGGGAAACTGTAATGAACAGTGTAAACAGGTCTTTCGATCCATGCACAGTCCCAGGTGTACACTCTTAAAAATAAAGGTGCTTCAAAAGGTTCTTCACAGCGATGCCATAGAAGAACCATTTTTGGTTCCACAAAGAACCATTCAGTCAAAGGTTCTTTAAATAACCATCTCTTTCTTACCTTTTTGTAATCTGAAGAACCTTATTTCGCCACAAAGAACCTTTTGTGAAACAGAAAGGTTCTTCAGATGTTGAAGGTTCTTTGTGGAACCATTTAGACAAAAAGGTTCTTCTATGGCATCGTGAAGCACCTTTATTTTTAAGAGTGTAGGCCTAGCTTTTGCACAAGTGATTTATATAGGCAATGAGGGTCCACCCACTGGAGACTTGTAGTTTTCTTCTTTCTTGTTTTGCTTCTCATTGCAGGCTGTTTTTAGTCAAACTGGGAGGCGTTTCATTGTATGCTTGCCTTATTGAGGTACATCAGATATATTCTGCTAGACACTTGAAGATATAGACATGGGTCCTTGGATGCATTGTTGGACTTTGCTATGTTCTTGCTTTTTTGCTTCACACAGTAAGTCTTTTGCCTGCGTTTTCAGTTAAGAACATTATAAAAACAATATTGTTATTAGTTTCAAAAAGTTTAACTAATATTCTGACCATAATATAGAACATTCGGAACCATTTAAATGTGTTTTTATTATTATTTTGTTTTGCAGCTACTCACTCGTTCGTCTTGACCCAATCACCGGGACTCACACACGTCTCAGTCGGTGGTTCTGTAGAATTGAGATGTATATTTGAGCAGACCGTTAGGTACTGCTTTAATGCTGCTGCGTGGGAAAAGTTGAATCTACGGACTGGAAAACTCACGGCAGTGAATACTAACCATGAGAATAAAGTTCGACAACATAATGATAAAACTTGCGTTTTGATTCTTAACAACTTAACCAAGAAAGATTCAGGCATGTACTATTGCATTGGCCATTATAACCAAATGGCTATGATCGGCAATGGGACCAGGGTGATCGTAACAGGTAAATCTGCAGTGAAATCTCATCACACTTTTTTTAGGGTCACAGTTACTAAAACAAAACGTTTTGACTTTCTGTTCTTTGCTATAGATCACTCTGAACCAGAACTCTCCATCTTATTCTCACCACATGAACCGGACTCACCATCGGTATCGCTGCAGTGTCTCGTGACTGGACTTGACCCGTCTCAGGTGCGCGTCTTCTGGATGATTGGAGAGAATGTGCTTTCTGGATGGACTGAGTCCGCCTGGACAGACGACACTGATTCAGCCACAGAATTCACACGGGCTCATCTCTCTGTTTCTGCAGAGGACTGGAATGAAGCTGATGAAATTCACTGCTTTGCTGAATATGATGGCAAAAACATCTCCGAAACACTGATGGGATACAGTGCGTAAATGATAACAATTTCAGAGAAACATCAGGAAAAAGGACAGGTCTACCCCTGTTATATTAACCTTAACCTTAAAACTTGAAAAAATGAAGTGTTTTTTTTCTGCTACTACTTTACAAATTCATTTTGAATTTGAATTAAAAGCGACAGAAGAAATACTCTAAAAACTCATGAAGACTCAAGTTTGTGACATGTTAAATGAATGGAAATTTTTTGATGAAAACACTGCCCAATGGTTATTAATGAATTTATATATATATATATATATATATATATATGTCTAGTTATAATTCCTCTGCTCACTGCTGTATTTCAGAACCCGAACCTGAAATCTTCTTGTGGCTTGTGTACGCCGGCTGTGTGGCAGCGCTCCTTACCATACTTCTAACCGGTATTATGTCTGTGGGATTATATCGAGGTAAGAATTTATCGCTTCTGGTTTTGTAGGCCTAGCCTACATTGTTGCAAATACTAAAAAGTAACAAATTATATTTTCTAAATAGTTTGAACTCTGAACAGTTCACAACTGCCTCTAAAATGAGTTTTGTCTTGCTGGATGTGTCTTTGTCAGGTTCGTTTGATTGCATGAGTTAAGTTTCCTGACAATAAATAAAGCATATAATCTTTTATGTTCACAATGTTGATTAGCGTGACAGTAAAGAGGACAAAATGTTGGAATACATATATGACAAGTTTTTATTTAGTTAGTTAGTTAGCATTGAAATAAGTATTTACCAAGTCTTCAAATATGTATCATACAATATGAACACGGTTTGATGTAGTAATACTTCATTTATTGACAAAAACGTTTTAAGTACATGGTTAATGAAGCAATTTATGTTTAAGCAAAATAATTTTTGCCTGTATTTTTCATGAAACTTATTTGAGAATGCAATGTGGGGTATGTTACTTTTGTTGGTGATATTGGTAAACGTTTTAGCATTAGTTAAGTACCTTAAAAAAAAGTAAATAATTAAATAGTGGTTATAAAAATTAAAAATGTGACTTGCGCTATTTTCTTCTAAATCTTTTGAAGTCATATGATATTTTTGTATGAGGAACAAACTTAGACTGAAAATATTTGGCATTGTTCTCCTCTATATTTTAACTGAACGCAGGCACTCCCGTTCAAATGTGTAGAATAGAAAATTAAAGATTTTTAGTAATGATGGCTTAAATTTTGGTCTGTTCCTCATAGTCAAGTCAAGTCACCTTTATTTATATAGCGCTTTTAACAATACAGATTGTGTCATAGTTTTAATCTTCAAATGATTTGGACTATAGCATTTTGTATCACTTACTTTACTTTACTTAGGAGATTGACAGAGGTAGTCATGAATGTCATGGAATTAAAAAAAAATGTGTGGAGATTCTTTAAAAGTGTTCTTTTTTATTACATGGCTCTCTGACTGGTCAATTGTGGCACTGAGCACTCAATATTTTTCATTATTAATTATATTTATTTATTAGCAAATAATAGAAATAATAGAGCAAACTGTTCCTTCAAGCAAACACACAACAGATTAAATAATATTAAGAGCGTGAGAAAGTTGAATCTTTTTGTTGGGGAAAAAATGCTTTGACAAACTTTTAATTAAAAACAACCTGTTGGTAATTTTATATACCGGTTTGCATTTTATGATGTTAATATTTTGTCCAGTGTTTCTCTGGGGATCCCATCAGTCAGAGACAGGATGTTGGTCCATCAAAACAATAAAGGTAATGCAAAAGCAGAGTTAAAGGAATTATATGAAACAGCAAAGTACACTTCCAAAGTAATTAAACTTACAACAAGGTAACACTTGTAAGAATCATTCTCACATGGACTTAGGATTTTCTTTCCTCCTTTTTTCAGTGTGGAGAAGGAAATGTTGCAGTATGCTAAAAAATTACTCAAATTTAATTTTTAGAAATTAAATATATTGTTTACTCATATACCTTAAAACAATAAGATTGCCTGTTCTTGTTTTTATAATATCCGTGGTCAAGAATATTTATTAGTTAGGAACTATTTCTTGTATATTTTTAAGTTAGCTTTTTTTATGATCTTATTTTTTTTCTAATGAAAATGTGTCCTCCTGAAAATGGGGTTAATATTGTCTCTCTGTAGGAGACAGATATACATATAATTTTCTGTTGACCAAAGTGTTTCTACACTAAACTACAGTACATGAAGCAGCACGACCATATTCAACACGGATCATAACAGTAAATGTTTCTTGAGCCGCAAATCAGCAAATTAGAATTGTTACTGAAATTTCTGTCTTGCATCCCTGATGTGTGCAGCACAGAACAGATCAGCTTTTCTTTGCAAAAGTGGCCCAGTTGCCCATCAAATGAAAATACATATTATAGTAATGTCACTTTTTATCATAGAATATGAACACAATCTCAAATATACGTTGCCTGCATTATTATCTATGTGTGCATTTTTTTTTTTTTTTATGATGGAGTGAAAAACCACAGTGCATGAAACAGGAAAATATATGGCCTCTTGATGTAGCCTTCATACTCCCATTTGACAGCTTGTGGTTAAACAGAAGTTGCATAACAGGATGTTAGATGAGACAAAGATCTCATGAAACAGAACTGCACACCTGCTTGCACTGTCCATTTTTGCAGCAACTCCACTGGCATTACTTAAACTGTTTGTATGATGCCTTTGTACTGTCATATAATGTCCTCCATCCCTACACTGTAAAAAATGACCGTGAATTTTACGGTAATACCGTTTTTGGAAGTGAAAAAGACCGTATAATTTACAGTGAATAACCGTAAATTGACATTCCCAGAATTCCCTGCGTTACATTTCAAATGTGATGTTTTTTTGTTGAAATAACGATGTGTCTTCTTAGTTTTTTCTTATCAGTTTTGTATATTAGGGTTGTGTGTTACTCCTAATGTTGTTAAATGAATGTTTATTGCATTATTTCAGTTTCATGTGTGTTACCATGATGGTGTTTAGTGTTTGTGTGAATGACACTGTGCATCTTCTATATATGTTATTATCTAAAAGCTGCTTGTGATGGGCTTTGGTTCATCATGTGACTTTCTCATCACCTCCTGCATTTGGTGGTTATCAGTGTAATACAAAAGTACAAAACAGATTTCAGTACTTGAATAAGTTGGTATATTAACATTATATCAGTTAATAAAATTATGGTATTTAACTGTACATTTAAGTTAAAACCTACAACGTTTCTACCGTATTTTTTTCGGTAAAATTCCGGTAACCACAGCTGCCGGTTTTTTACCTTAATTTTTTTTTACAGTGTACAGTATGTAAATTACCACATCACTGAGAGTGTTATGAAATACTCAGATGATAAATAAAATGAATCTGCACATCCAAATTAACAAAGCATTCAAAATAGAAACATTGTGTACATAATGAAAAATGGGTTAATGTTGACATTGACATATAATGTTGAATTAAAGCAAAATTGTGCATAGTTATTACAATGACTACCTATGTTTTCTCTTTTGTATTATGTAGGTTTACAGATATTAGTGAATGTGAAATCTGAATTAAGAATGCATTATCATTTTTGTATTTCTAATTGTAAATTATGGGTTAAATGTGTTAATATTCCCATTTATATTGGTAAAATGTCAAGCTTAAATGAATAGTTGACCCCAAAATTTACAATTTTGTCATCATTTTCATACACAACAATTTTATGTTCCACATTGACAATAAACAACACTGCATGGACAAAATACATTCCATGGGAGAAAGCAAGTCATTTTTCATTTTCATATTCGGATGACCTGTTTTAACATGAAGTTACATAATTCATATATTTTCTAGCTTGACATTGCACATAGATGCAGCTGTCTGAAGTGCAGGGTGGGGAAAGAGTACTGTCAGTTTGAAGGTGTGGGCGTTGAGCATTGGCCGTTTTTACACCATGTTGCTCTTTTCATCTCACACAAAACAAAGACTGCATTCAGATTGTAATCAGATTGTCAGAAAGCAGAGAGTTAACCAGCAAGAAGAACATCTTCTCAGCTTGCAGCGGAAAACAAACAATTAAATTAAAAGAAATGAACACAGTAAAAACAAATCTGTAAAAATAGGGTACAATGAACTGTATCAATGTTGAGGAATTGCGTTGTGTTTTTAGGGTGAACAGAACTGTCTGTAAAATTAATGGATAATGTCCTGAAAGAAAATTACCACACTGTAAGCCAAAAAAAAAAATGAATATAGAAAATGTACTGGTAATTTTCTGCCAGGACATTATCCAATAATTTAATGGACATTTCCGTTAACTCTAAAAGACAACACAATTCAGTGCAAAATTCTAAATACTGGTAAAACACCTGTAAAAAGTAAATACAGAAAATTCCTTCATATTAATAAATTTTTTTATAGATTAATGCATTACTACATTAATACTTTTTTTAATGGATTTTTCCATTTGTATTAATTGATTGATGTATTTATTTATTTATTTATTTTACAGTAGATTATTTGCTGAAATATACTGTTTGCGCTAAATGCCCATCATTTTTGGAGAACTTGTCTCTGTATTAGAGTTGTGTGCCATTCTGAAATTAATTTGGGATACTTTTGAAATTCCAATTCAGTTCCTGAATTTGCAGAATTGCAGTTAAGAGCAAAAAAGTATAGAATACATCAGCAAAACATGGCCTAAGAATGTCATCAAACAGTATTAGTGGTGAGATAAAAGCTATATTAAACCATAACCACTGCAGTCTGTTTGCAAAAACAAATATTATCATCATAGTAAGTTCCTTTAACTTCTTACAGAGTCTCTGATTTGCAACATAAATAGACCTTTGCCCCACTTTTGCTATAGGAAGGGCCACCCTCTGGTGAGTTTTTTCCCTTGCGGTTTCAGTCAAACTCTTGTGTACTGACACCTTGTTGCATTAAGATTGTGTGAGGTACTGGTGATGTTAAAAGGTGCATCAGAGCCTTGAAACCGTTAATATGCGTACCTGGATGTGCTGTTGGATTTTATGCATTTCGTCTGTTCTAAGTAAGCCTATGCCAGTTATCAATCTCATCACATTAATCTTATGCTCTTTAACTTAATATTTCATCATGTAGATTATTCGCTGTGAACCTGTTTTTATTTTCTCATTTGCAGCTACTCACTCGTTCACCTTGACCCAATCACCGGGACTCACACACGTCTCAGTCGGTGGTTCTGTAGAATTGAGATGTATATTTGAGCAGACCGTTAGGTACTGCTTTAATGCTGCTGCGTGGGAAAAGTTGAATCTACAGACTGGAAAACTCACGACAGTGAATACTAACCATGAGAATAAAGTTTGACAACATAATGATAAAACTTGCGTTTTGATTCTTAACAACTTAACCAAGAAAGATTCAGGCATGTACTATTGCATTGGCCATTATAACCAAATGGCTATGATCGGCAATGGGACCAGGGTGATCGTAACAGGTAAATCTGCAGTGAAATCTCATCACACTTTTTTTAGGGTCACAGTTACTAAAACAAAACGTTTTGACTT